CGTTACGTAGACGATCCAGGAACATTTGGGTGTTCGTTAGATGAGCTGGAATGTATTTCAACAACTGAGTAAGTATTAGAGTTATTAACCACGTTATTCTATCTGTTGGCCCGTCCACGCAGCTAATGATAGGTCTAACCTTAAATAACGATGGATCGGTAGACACGAGATCATCGCTGGATACTAACTTATGGGTTTTGATAAGTACAGGANTTCTCTCGGGTGAATTTAATATACTCTGACTGTGTGTTCAACAACTCGAAACATCTGTCGATTTCTTCTTGCGTTGAACAAATGACCAGGCAGTCATCTATATATCTACAGTAGAGTAACGGACCGAGGTCGATTACTGGCGCTTCCACCTTAGACATGAATACAATGGTAAGGCTTGGAGCCAGTCGTTGTCCTATTGCCAGCCCTCTCATTTGTGCGTAATACCTCCCGGACCATCTGAAGATTGAGCAGTTCAGGCACTCCTTTAAGAGTGTCATCAACTGCTGAATCGAGAAGCCGTACATGTTTATTGCTCCTTCGTGTTGTATAAGGAGCTCGTTTATGGCTTGCATAGCGGAGTCATTCGACACGCTCGTATAGAGGGCAGTGACGTCGAAGGACTCCACCACGTACGCGCTGTTGGGTCGCGCGTTACGTAGACGATCCAGGAACATTTGGGTGTTCGTTAGATGAGCTGGAATGTATTTCAACAACTGAGTAAGTATTAGAGTTATTAACCACGTTATTCTATCTGTTGGCCCGTCCACGCAGCTAATGATAGGTCTAACCTTAAATAACGATGGATCGGTAGACACGAGATCATCGCTGGATACTAACTTATGGGTTTTGATAAGTACAGGAGAGACATGTTGGTAAGTCAATTTTGAGATGAGAGATAACTGATGGTTTTAACCCAGCCGCTCTTGCCACTTTCACCCATTCGTTAACTTTCGGTATTGACTTTTAAATTCCTTCTCAGACGACGGACGATAAAAGGAAGCATCTTTAAGGTGATTTTCCGTTATCTCAACATCTAACTGATGGGGAATTACAACGAACTCTCCACCCTTATCACTAACCGATAGTCTTATGTTTTTTGATCTTATCAGCTCTCGTACCTCTCGCATACCACGTTTTTGCACTGGAGTGAGGTTTGAGCTGTATCTTTTCGCGCGATAGTGATTAAGGACTTTGAGAGTTTCATTCACAAACATCCGAAATTTAACATCAACTTCATTAATGGGCCCTTGTTGTCTAAAGAACGGTTGAGGAAATGGTGGTACTGGTATCGCCCCAACTCTTTATTGTTCGCGCCTATTTTGCGCTTCATCCCTAGCTTTATTGCGGAGTCTATCTTGAAGTTCATGTAAACTACATGCGACCCTACGCAAGGTTACCTTAGAAATGGGTTCAGATGGTGAAAATTAAATTTCTGTAAGTTTCGGCACCGAAAAAATTTTAAATTAGAGTAAAATTTCAGATCTTATTGATAGTTTGGAGACGTTTATGACGACATGAACTGATTTCAATTCATCACCTATATCATCTGCATGACTTACCTTTCCGTTTATTGTCGAGTAATGATCGAGCACCAGTACGGCATCCATTTGCCGATTTATTTATTTTTTTTATTTTTGATTTATCCAATTTATTTTTCTTTTTTGTCATGAAAGCCTCTAAAATCTGCAGATCTTCACCGACGAGGTGTAGATTTTCCTTCCTGCGAATTTGAAATCCCTATTCATCGACAATTATATGTAGGATATAAAAGCAACTGAACAACCCAGATTTTATCGAACAGGGCAAGATGGTGTCTCCAAATGTATACCTGATCATTGCTGCTGCCGTACCTGAGTTAAAATTGTAGACCTCATCTTCAAATTTCTGTAAGTTTCGGCACCGGAAAAATTTTAAATTAGAGTAAAATTTTGGGGAAAAACATCTGCGCTTTGAAGATCGTAGATCAATGTTATTTATATCCGTTCCGTCACCCCGTTCATCACTGCTTCTCTTGGAAATAAAGGATATCTGGCATGGACGTATATCGTGACGCAGTTGTATATCCACATTTCCTGAATGGATATGACAGTTGGGAGAAGTAAATAGACCTACAACGCTCATACGTCGTCAAATGCTAAAAACGGCTGGTGCTAAAAGAACTGTTGCTACTGAAATCACGTCTAATTGTAATAATAGGTAGAGTCGAATACATGGCCCACCTCAAGGAGTTAATCAACGCCGAATACGTTATCCTTAGCCTTTTATCCTTGAACAGGTTATTTGGAGTGCTCCATAATTCTTGCCTTTCCCCAAACAGATACCAACTTAAACAATAGTTTGGAAAGCTCTACAGAGAAGAATTAGAAAAAGAGTAGTGTTCAACTGCTTCCAAATCAAGACGGCTTGCGTCAACATAAAATCACTAAATCAGTAGAATCCACTTTAACCTCGACATCCTCGAATTGCGTCGACTAGACTCCATTTCAGGTTAGAGAGTGAAGAAATGGCTCTCCAACAGTTCTTCCTTC